GTCATTGTTGTTTGGTGGGTCCGGGCTGGGGATTCGAACCCGCCACCTTAGGTGTACGTGGCTGGCGCCTTAGCCGGTTGAGCTATAGGCGCCGAGCCTAAAGTCTAAACTCTTTACATGGGACCCAGAGGTCATCGTCCAGTCCAGCGTGTCCCTGCTGTGCACAGGGCTCCGGAGGTGCCAGATCCCTGGAGTTTCCCCACACTCTCCTTCACGCCTGACTTTGCATGTTATCTTTCTACCCCTACTCTGTCTGATAAACGCTCATTCTCCAAGATCCATCTCTTACAATCACTGAGAATATTCCACTCATTTCTCCAAGCAGAGTAGAGGTTCCTCCTCTATGTTCTCACATTATCAGTTATAATGACACTTACATATCAATCTCCTTTTTATTCTTCTGGCTCCAGACAAAAAGGCCTCAAAGGCAGAAAATGTGATCTTTAAATCCTCCATGTACGCTGTGGCACGGTGCCCAGCTTGTGTGCCCAGTTACAGGGATGGGTGAAGTTGTTTAATGACAGTTTGCTGAATGAATGCATCTGTCTAGAAAATTGTTGCTGGAGTGAGCAAATGTTTATAACCTTAATACAAGCACTACTATAAAACTTAACCTCAGTGGGTCATGCACTGAATGAACTGAACTATATGACTGAAGTATATATTTACACAAAAGCCAGGTTAAATATTTAAAGAATTATTTTCATACTTACAGATTTCCTTTCTGCCCAGATGACTGCTCCAACTCCTGTTTTATGATCCTCTGAAAGATATACAGCATTTAACTCAGCAGAAATCCATGATATATTAGTTTCAGAAATATATTTTTATAAAAATAACCATTTACTGAAACATATTTCATAATTGTAGCTTTGCCATCTTCACTGATTACAGAAAGGCAAGGGAGCTAGGTACCCAGTAAGCAGCTGGGTCCACGTGTACACATGGAGACTGGTGGGGGTCAGGTCTCTGCAAAGCTGTGACCAGAACTGAGTGCAACTTCACTGATTGCACTAGCACGTCAGTTTCTAAATTACTACTTCTATAGATGATGGAACTGAATAAAGGTTTCTGAACTTGGATTTCATGTACTAACTGTTCACAATAACCAAATTTGTCTTCTCCTAGCATCTGCCAAACTTTAATCACAGAAGAGACAGTTTATGGAAGTAAATCTTTATGGACTTTCCTATCTATTCATCTATCTACAAACCTACCTACCTACCTACTATGCTAGAGGGTACATGAAGGAACTTCTGATTTAAACAAAGTTGTCCTTTCCCTGACCTTCAGTTTACCTTGTAAATCAAGTGGCAGAAGTTACAAACACGAGATTATAATTTCCCTGCATAAACAAAATCTTTGCAACAAGTAAAACTGTACTTCTTAAAACCATTAATTTTATATATTAAGGGTCTACTTTTGTCTTCTACACAAGATTGAGTATCAAATTTCTAAGACAAATATACACTAATATGAAAACCATAGTATTTGTAAAAGTACTATGGATTGGACAGCACCTGTGGCTCAAAGGAGTAGGGCACTGGCCCCATATGCTGGAGGTAGTGGGTTCAAACCCAGCCCTGGCCAAAAACTGAAAAAAAACAAACAACAACAACAACAAAAAACTATGGATTAAGTGAAACTTCAGTTTCACCCTACAATTTCCTAAAAGTTAATCATTTCAGAAATGATAACATTTAAAGACCTACTTTTTCAGTAACAGTGCAAAGAAAATCTGGGCCACAACTGCATTAAAAACTAGGATGCCGGCTTGGCGCCTGTGGCTCAAGTGGCTAAGGTGCCAGCCACATACGCCTAATGTGGCGGGTTCGAATCCAGGCCGGACCCGCCAAACAACAATGACCGCTGCAACCAAAAAATAGCAGGGCGTTGTGGCGGGCGCCTGTGATCCCACCTAATTGGGAGGCTGAGGCAGGAGACTCGCTTGAGCCCAGGAGGTGGAGGTTGCTGTGAGTTGTGATGCCATGGCACTCTACCCAGGGGGACAGCTTGAGGCTCTGTCTCAAAAAAAAAAAAAAAAAAAAACTAGGATGCCTTATAAACAAGTTAACTTTTAAGTTATAATACTACAACAAAATTTCCCATCTCCAGTTCAAGTTAGCATAGGTTTTCCAAATTATACTACGAAGCACTGGTATATGTTAAGCACTTTTTATCCACGATTTCATTTTTTATATGTAAAGCACTTTTTACCCATGATTTCATTTTTTTGCCCTACAGGTAAAAGAGATTAAATTTACATTTCTAAATGAGAAAACAGGCAGAGAAATTGACTATGACTTAGCCCTCCAGGTCCAACCTACTACCTTTTCTCCACCCCTCCCTTTGATATTAAAAATTCCTTAACTGGCTCTGCGCCTGTGGCTCAAGTGGCTAGGGCACCAGCCACATACACCTAAGGTGGTGGTTCGAATCCCCAGCCCAGGCCTGCCAAACAACAATGACGGCTGCAACCAAAAAATGGCCAGGCGTTGTGGTGGATGCCTGTGGTCCCAGCTACTTGGGAGGCTAAGGCAGGAGACTCGCTTGAGCCCAGGAGTTGGAGGTTGCTGTGAGCGTGATGCCATGGCACTCTACCCAAGGGAACAGCTTGAGGCTCCGTCTCAAAAAAAAAAAAAAAAAAATTCCTTAACCACCATGCCCACTTATTGAGTGCCTCAGACTACACATGTGCCAAGTGGAATAGTGGTCTCCATCCTCCTGTAGCTTACAGTAGATGGGAGCGGGGCACAGTGACAAGGAGAAATCCGTCTGTGCTTTGAAGGAAACAAGAGAGGGAAAGAATGTAAATCGACTGCTCTATGCTCATCTCTAAGGCAAGCGGCATTATAAACAGAGATTAGATTTGCCTACAAACCTTTTATTGCAAGTGAAGTTTTAGTTAATTCATGCATAAATCTGAGATGGCAAAAGAAAAACTTAAATAGAAATTTTTCACATTAAGAGCCCCCTCTTCTGACAATCAGCACTAAGTGGTTTTCATGTCGTGTTTTCTTGTCTCAGGGGCCACTACTTCTGTTTCAGTCTAGGGACAGACTAACCCTTGTCAGAGAAGGAAACAATGATCTTTCCATCAGCTTGCAGCTCTCCTATCTAGCTAAAGTTAGTTACGCCATCATAATATCCTTTACCACCTATCATCTCAAGTAAGAATAAATTTTCATCCATATAAAATGGAGTCCATTTTGGGCGGCACCTGTGGCTCAAAGGAGTAGGGTGCCAGCCCCATATGCCAGAGATGGCAGGTTCAAACCCAGCCCCAGCCAAAAGCTGCCAAAAAAAAAAAAAAGAGTCAATTTCATCTAGCTCCAAGGCTGGTGACAGACAAAGGTCATTACAAATATCTACAGCTATGATTACAGAAACTGCTGTCTATGATCTGGTCATTCACAGGGTTTTCTCTGTACACATCTTAAGGAGAGGCCAGCTATGATCACTGAGCCAGACTCCTCTTTGATCACTGACATCAGAGAACACTCTGCTCTGGAACACAGCAGGGGTTACATTAACCCTCAATCCTGCAGTCATGTCAGTGTTTGTCCCATGTGCTCCACACACCACTTGCATCAAATTGTAGATGGCTGTAAAAAAGGTAAGCTCCTGGCTTCTAAGGAGATCCCCCGTAGGGCTCGGGACCCTGCATTTATTGTGGCTCCCCCTTTGATTCCTAAGCACACTAAAATCTGAGAATCACTGAGCTATGACCTAAAACAGTTAACTTTCTTGGCTACCCCTGCCTACTTTCACCAATACTGTGGTCTGGGAGGAAGGCATAGTCCTTAGTTTTGGAAAACACCCACTGTAGTGGGGTAAACAAGGCACAAAAAGAGGTCAAAACTCAGTCCTTAAACCAGGTAGAAGTGATGCCCTCTTGCTCTTTTCTCCTGCAAGAGTCTAAACATTTTGCTTTTTAGCCATCCCAGGTATTCTAGAAACATACTTTTAATTATAGCTCTGTGAATACTCTTTATTCATCATTCAAAAAAGCAATTACTAAGCATGCACTTTCAATTAGTTTTAGAAATTGGTTAAGAGGTTTCAGAATGCATTTCAATCGTATGTATATTTTTACATGAAATGTTCTAATGAAAAGGCATCTTCATCTATTAATTCGGAAGAAATTGAACTAAACTTAAGAGTATGAATTAAAAACTCAGGTAACTGGAAACACTGGTGTAAAATGAGGCACGTATACAAATAACCCAGCTCAGTGCCTGACACATAATAGGTACTCAATAAATTGTCATTGTTATTAATCACCAACAAAGACTTATAGGTCCAGAATTCCTTATCTAAAATCCCTTATATTTTTTTTTCGAAGTTTGATCCACTTATTTTGTGGCCAAACCTGACTCAAGGTATTTATAGCACTTAATTATTCTGCTTAGTGCAAATATACACTTTTTTTTTTACTCCATATGTGTATTTAATGGTCTGGTTACAAGGTATTGGCCCAGACCTCACCGGGAGCATTATATAAAAGCATATGCACCATGTTAACGTCTTAAAATCTGAAAAATTCTGAATTCTTTTTCATCTGGCTCCAAGGGCTTTGGATAAGGGTTCATGGACCATTTATCTTTGTATCTAAAAAGATTTCCTTAATCCATTCAACATATACTGGCTCGGCACCTATAACTCAGCGACTAAGGCACTGGCCACAAACTGGGGCCGGCCGGGGTGTGCCCGCCTTGGCCGGGGTTCCAACCCTGCCAGCCAACAACAACTACAACAACAACAACAAAAATCCAGGTGTTGGGGCAGGTGCCAGTAGTCCCAGCTACTTGGGAGGCTGAGGCAAGAGA